GTTTAAAGTTTAAACCCCTTCTCACTAGAGTTGGGCCACAGATCAAGGAAAGAGGGAAGGAAAGAGAGAGAGTAGACAGAAGGAAAGAAGGAAAGGAAAGAGGGAAAGAAAGAGAAGGAAAGAAGGAAGGAAAGAGGGGATAAAAAGAGAGAAGGAAAGAGGGAAAGGAGGAAAAAAGAGAAGCAAAGAAGTGGCCCAGGAGCCGGGGAGGGGGGCGCCTCCGGGGCGTCTCTCCGGCGCTGCACCTCCCCGAGGGGGCCGGCGAGCCTGTCGAGAATTGCTCCCCCGCGGCCGCTGCAGCGTCTCCCCCGGCGGGCGGAGGTTTGGCGCCTGCGTCCTCCTCCTCCTCGTGCTGGGGAAAAGATCCGGGGAAAGTTTCTGTCTCCGCTCCACCACCGGCCCCGCGAGCGGCGCCCGCGCCCGCCTCTCCCCTCGGCCGCCCTCCCAGACGGAGAGGCCACCTGCTGGGAACACCCGGCTCCTTGGCGGAGCGTCTCCCACCGCTTAACCCCTTCCGCGCTGCCCGCCCACCTGATCCGCTCAGAGCCGCTTGCCCGCCTGCCTGCCTGCCTGCCTGCCTGCTGCTGCTGCTGCTGCTGCAGGGGAGGGCGGGGGCGAGCCGGGGGCGGAGGCCCCCCCACCTGTTGGCCCCACCCTCCCCACGGGCTCCGCCTCCGTCCAGGCAAAAACCCCCCAGTCACGCGTCGCCCTGCCTCCGTCCTCCCCAGAACCAAAATATTGGTGGGGAAATGAAAGGGCTGCTTCTCCCCGCCCCGCCCCACGGATCTGGAGACCCTGCCAGCTTGGCGAAGCTCCGACCGCGCGCTGGAGCGAAGGGAGGGACCGGGAGCCCCCACCCCGCTGCCCCGGCTGGAGTCCCGCCTGCGACCCCGTGGGAGGCAGCTCCGGGGAGGCCAGGCGGAGGCGGCCAAGAGGAGTTCGGCACCTTTTCCCGCGGGCTGCCCCCTTGGCTTTCTTTCCCGGGTATGGTTGCCAGCTCCGGGTTGGGAAATACCTGGAGACTTGGGGAGTTGGAGCCTGGGGAGGGACGTCAGCGGGGTTGTCATGCCAGAGAGTCCACTTTCCAAAGCAGCCATCCCCCCCCCTGGAATGTTGCCTGGAGATCAGCTGTAATCCTGGGGGATCTCCAGCCACCCCCTGGAGGCTGGCAACCAGTGTTCCCTCTAAGCTGAGTGAGCGTGCGCTAGCTCACAGATTTTTAGCCTCTGGCTCACACATTTTTGTCTTCGCTCAGGAAGGAGGTCTCCAGCAGATACTAACTGATTGATGCAGGAGCCAAATGGCTCGCTCACAACTTTAATACCAGGAGCTCACAAAGGAGAATTTTTGCTCACAGGACTCCACAGCTTAGAGGGAACATTGCTGGCAACCCCACGTTCTGGGCTCACCAGCCTACCACGCATGCTCATTGAGTAGGGGCAGAACCAGTCCAACAGCCAGCCCTGTTGTGGTTGACAGCTCTGGCTTGGGAAATACCTGGAGATTTGGGGGAGGTGGAGCCTGGGGTGGGCGGGGTTTGGGGAGGGGAGGGACCTCAGCGGGGTTATCATGACAGAGAGTCCACCTTCGAAAGTGGCCATTTTCTCCAAGGAAAACGGACCCTGGAGACCAGCTGTAATTTTGGGAGTTTTCCAACCACCACCTGGAGGAGGGCGTGTTCTCCTTGCCAGCCTCCTTGCACCCCCCTCCCCAAGAGGAAAGGCCTTCCCTTCCCCCAGGGCCAGTAAGCGCCCTAGAGAGCAAACCAACCAACCCCATACCCTTGGTCTCTGCTGCTTCGAGTCTTGCAGGGCCGGCCTGCTGCTAGAGAGGGTGGGGGGATGGGGGGGGTGAACCCCGATCTCCTCCTAGCAGGTTGTGCCCATTGCTTGCCAGTCTTCATCCCCTAACCTGGCAACCACAATGTGAAGGGGGAGGATACTAGCCAATAAGTGGAGGAGGAGGTTGGATTTATACCCCGCCCTTCAGTACCCAAAGGTGTCTCAGAGCGGCTTACAAACTCCTTTCCCTTCCCCTCCCCACCACAGACACCCTGTGAGGGAGGTGGGGCTGAGAGAGCTCTGACAGAAACTGCTCTTTTTCAAGGACAGCTCTTATCAGAACTACGGCTTGCCCAAGGTCATCCAGCAGGTGCAAGTGGAGGAGTGGGGAATCAAACCCGGTTCTCCCAGATTAGAGTCCGCACACTTAACCACCGCACCAAACTGGCTCTCAGGTGAAACTTTTGTTTCTACACCCCCTACAATGGGCACACACACACACACACCCTTCCAGTTCTATTTAGGAACACCCGGATGCCGCAGGAAGGCCCAGATGGTGTTCATGGCTGGAAACAGCTCCTACCCGTGGGTGCAGCTCTGAGCAGGGAACCCTCTTGGGGTCTGTTTTCATGTATTATCAGAGCAACTGAGGGGATGGTAGATCTTGGAGAGGGGCACCAACCTCCGTGAACAAGCAGATAAGGAATACAGTGAACGATGTGGATCAGTGTAAGAATAGATGGGGAGCAGAGACAAACGATGGTCAAAATGTCCACAGAGAAACCTGCCTTCCCCAGAAATGCATACGTTAGGGTTAGCATCTTTCGAAAAACAAAAGAGAAGACTTGATTCCCGACGGACTACAAGCCCCTAGACAGGATTTTGTGGCTTGCGCTGCAAAAAAAAAATTCTGGTGGGGCCGCCATTACTTTTTAGGTCCGCCATTACTTTTAGGCGGGTAAACGAGGGTGGCGATCACACACGCGATCACACCAGCAATGGCTAGGTGCCGCCGCCATGACAAACGGGGTCATTTATTTTCGCTTTCCTCTTTGTGCGCATGCGCCATTGGGTGCTTGTGCACATCTTGTGGAGACTTGGGGGGGGGAACCTGTTTGCGAAGGGACATGGGCGGGCGCCGGATGCCACCACCGGAAACGCGATCAGACGCCAGCCCTTGCCCCGCGGTTTCCGGAAACTAGTACCTCGGAGGTACTAGTTTTTAACTCCGCATCTTCAGCGGGAGCCTCGGGTTCACCACGGGAGCGCTACGCTTCCCAGATGTTGCGGTGTGATTGCGCCCGGAAAATCTGCCTATCTTCCATCTCTGTAGCGTGGCTAATGCTCCGTGTGACCACAGCCACAGTAGAGCAATTTCTCAGGGTATATGATCTCTGAGCATGCCCCCCACTCAGGTATACTAGCAACATCATCAGATGTAGAGGAACAGGGAGGCCTTTTTATTTAAAAAACAACAACCTGATTGTATCTTGGAGCCCTCCGTCCCTTCCATATAGCTGTTCAGAATGAGCTGTTGCTAAAGACACAAAAGTATGATTTTGCTCTCCGTTTGAAAGGAATCCAGCAAACACCCAAACAATTCTATGCTGTTCGTTCTGCAAGATCTAAAGTTGTGAGTTGACACAGAGGACCAAATGACTCTGGGATAAGCGCTCTCACCCTGGGGGATACTTTGGTCACGTATTTCATTTTGCCAGCAGAGCTAGTAGAGACAATTTTATCACACTGGTTGCAGCTGTGTGGTATAATCATCGTCTATAGCCAGTCCAGGTTAGTTACTATCCGTGGGATTATTAGGAAAAGGACGGAAGATAAAACAGCCCTTGTACAGACCTATGATGCAGCCATTTGAAATACTGCACACAGTTCTGGGTGCCATATCTCAAAAAATATATATATTGCAGACCTGGAAAACGTACAAAGGACAGTTGGGCAAACAAGATGATTAAGGGATTGGAGCAGCTTTCCTATGAGGAAAGGTTGGAAGCGTCTGGGGCTTTTCAGTTTAGAACAGAGATGACTAAGAGGGGACATGCAAGAGGTTTGTAAAATTATGCATGGAGTGGACAGAGATGACAAAGAGAAATCTTTTTCCCTCCACACACTTCCAAAATCCTAGTACTGGGGGGTTGGGAGCAGACAAAAGGAAATACTACTCTACTCCATGAGTAATTGAATTATGAGATTCGCTACCAGTGGATGGGAGCTGCGGTGGCTCAAGTGGTTAAGACGCTGAACTGCAGGCTGTGGAAGGTCGGTAGTTCAGCAGTTCGAGACCCGAGTGTGCCGCATGACGGAGTGAGCTCCCGTCTCTAGTTCCAGCTCCTGCCAACCTAGCAGTTCGAAAGCAAGAAATTGCAAGTAGATAAATAGGGACCACTTCAGTGGGCAGGTAACAGCCTTCCATGCGCCTTGGTGTTTAGTCATGCCGGCCACATGACCACGGAGAAGTCTTCAGACAGCGCTGGCTCTTCAGCTTTGAAACGGAGATGAGCACCGCAACCCTAGAGTCAGACTCGACTGGCTTTCAAGCAAGGGAACCTTTACCTTTACCAGTGGATGTAATGATGACCACAGGCACAGAAGATTAGGCAGATCCCTGAAAGCGGTCCTTTGACAGTTACTGGGTGAGATTGGTAAGTGGAGCCTCCACATCAAGAAGCAGTAGACTTCTGAATACTCACGTAAAGAGGGGAAGGCCTCGGCCTCTATGCCTGGCTTGCTGGCCTTTCCAGGGTTAGGGGATGTGAAACAGGATGTCGGACTAGATGGACCACGGGTCTGATTCAGCTCATCTTGTCCTTGAGGTGTTTTGGTTTTATTTCCTTGGTGGGACCATCAGGAACCAGATCAAAATCACTTTGGGGGTGGGGGTACAACCTGCAGACTGTCTGTTGGCCATTCTTGGCCTAGATTACAGCCTTTGGCAGAGTTCTGAAGTCTTTTTGTCAAGAAAGGGGGAGAGCACACCTGGTCACAGGTTCTCCTGCTTCTTTAGCCAGGTTTCCCGTTTGGCTGACTTGAATCTCAACATGTCTTACAGAGGTGGCAGCAAATCCTGAGTTTAACAGCGGAGATAACGTTGGTTCTCCTAGCTCGTGGCCAACACAGGAATGGGTCCATATTTGGAAAGCACTTTGGCCACACCAGATCAGCTCTGGGTACTTTGGCCACACCAGATCAGCTCTTGGGTCGTTGTCGGAGCCTGTGATCCAAACCATTGCAGCGACTAAAGCACCGAGGAAGCGTTTCGGATCGTTTATTGAACACTCTTGTGGCAGAGTGATGTTCAGCTGGCCACAGCTACTGCAAGCCATCTTAGATATCGGCACAACACAGACAGAGGGCCTCCTCTGTTCCTAAGAACATAAGAGATGCCAATGCTGGATCAGGCCAAAGGCCCATCCAGTCCAACACTCTGTATCACACAGTGGCCAGAAATACCAGTGCCATCAGGAGGTCCACTAGTGGGGCCAGGACATTAGAAGCCCTCCCACTGTTGACCCCCCCCCCCAAGCACCAAGAAGACAGAGCATCCCTTGCCCCAGAGTCCCTATCTATACCTTGTGGCTAATAGCCACTGATGGACCTCTGCTCCATATACTTATCTAATTCCCTTTTGAAGCCGTCCATGCTTGTAGCCACCACCACTTCCTGTGGCAGTGAATTCCAAGTGTTAATCACTCTTTGGGTTCCACTCCTGTGAGCTTTGGGTTCCACCGTGACCCAGAACCTAAAAAGGTAAGTTAAACAGAATAGAGGGCAATTTTACTGAGGACACTTTGGCTAAACAATCTTTGGAAGGCACTTTCTGGGCCAGAAATCATCATCAGTGAAACACCAGCATGTGATTGCATCTTTGGAGGCCTCATTGATACTTTTATTCTGTGCCCATCTTGTATCTGTGCTGCATAATTGTATGATTGCATCGTATTATGATACAAACCAATATGCTCCTCATTCTGTTTGACCTCTGAAGAAGGGCTATACAGGCCGAAACACGTCAGGTCAAGTCCATTGGCCCTTGTGTGCTAAATTTTGGCATTTTTACACGAGGTGTGATTGGGCCCTTAGATGCTTTTTAATTCTTTGTTAATAAATAGAAGAAGACGAAGAAGAAGAGAAGAGATTGGATTTCTACCCTGCCCTTCACTTGGAGTCTCAGAGCGGCTTACAAACTCCTTCCCCTTCCCCTTCCGCACAACAGACACCCTGTGAGGTGGGTGGGGCTGAGAGAACTCTGACACAAGCTGCTCTTTTTCAAGGACAGCTGTGCCAGAGCTTGTGACTGACCCAAGGTCACATCAGCAGGGGCCAGAGGTCATTTCGGGGGGGACCGCGGGGGATCGCAGTTCCCCCAAGTGAGGTATGGGGGGGCGGGGCACATGACGAAGCCCCGCCCCCTGCTTCCGGCCGCCCTGCTTCCGGTCCTCATTCAGCCAGGAGGAGGCAGGAGAAGAGGGAGGGTAAGTTGCTTCCTCCCTGCCTCTCCCCACCCCTGCCTGCCTGGGGCCAGGGAGGGCCTTTGTGGGGCTTCCTTGCACTCCCGCCGGCCGGGACCATTGGGGGCGGGGTGTGTGGCCTTATGACACACTTCCGGTGATGTCAGGGGGTGTGGCCTTATGACACACTCCCGGTGATGTCAGGGGGTGTGGCATATGCTTATGAGTTATGCTAATGAGTTCCCCTAGCTCTTTTTCTACAAAACGACCTCTGGCAGGGGCAAGTGGAGGAGTGGGGAATCCAACCCGGTTCTCCCAGTTTAGAGTCCACGCACTTAACCACTACACCAAACTGGCTCCCGTATCTTTTCATACTATATAATTAAGTTTTTATTGTTGGCCCTCTGTTCTGTTTAACTTACCTTTTTAGGTTCTGGATCCCAGGTTTCAGGGTTACGTCCCCCACCCCTTTTTTTGTCCCTTGTTTGTTCCACCCTGACCCACCACCACCCACTTAAGCTACAGCGCCTCCTCTCCCTCCCTCTCTCCTAGTTCTATTCCAGGGGTTGTTTAGATGAGGACTGAGCTATAGAGAGTAAGAAGGGGGACATGTGGACAGGCTTCCTCCCGGGCCTGTCCCTCCCTCCTCGCCAGGGCATCTGCTGCTGCTTCCCCTGCCTGTGGTTTTGCCAGGAAGAGCCCGGCAGAGGTGAACACGTGGCTCAAAGTGCCGACAGGTGGCATGGATGGCAGCGGCACCTGTGCTGGGTGGAAACCAGCGGTCTGCAGAGCCAGGTGGCCGGCGTCCCACCTCGCTCCCAGCAAGCAGGACAGAGGGAGGCGTAACACTTGCAACCGATTTATTGGTTTGCAGGCAGGAAACCATCCCTACAGGCCCGCCGTGTGATTCGACAAGCTGGAGGGGGGGGGATTCACTTTCCCCAGCCAGGAGGACAGGTGTGCCACATAAACAGGGAAATTGGAGCACTGAGCCTCCTCCCGATCAGAGCTCCTCTGCCAAGCTGGAGACTGACTCACGGGCAGAAGGGAAGGCAGCCTTCCCTGACGTGCCTGCCCTGCGGAGGACGGGCCCGCGCTGTCCGAAAGGTTGCCCAGTTGGAAGCATGCCACGGAAGAGCCCCAGACTCCAGCAGCGAGAGCCCCCCCCCTCAACACGGCACAGCCCCACGCTGTGCTCTCAGTGCTCAGGCAACGTGGCATGCTTGGCCCAGGGAGGGGTTACTGTAGGTCAGAACTGTGTGGGTAGCCAGGGCAGAAACAGCAGGGGGTGTTGCTGGTCAGCACTGATGCGCGTCGGCAGCACCGGGCAAAGAACCAACGTCGGGAATAGCAGGGGATGCTGCAGGTTACAGCTGAGATGCCTTGGCACAGCTGCATCCTGGCGCCCGGCCGGGCCAAGAATATCATTCCGCTTTCATGCACACCAAATTCTTCGGATGATTTTTTTTTTTTTTTGGAACAATGCGCTAGAAATCTCTCGCTGGGGGATTTTCCAACAAATGCTGGCTATTTAGGGAGAGACCTTTGTTGCAAGATCTCATCTGGGAGCAAAATCTACGCTCCTTGGATAACAAATGGTGGATTTTATAGATGTGTGTGTGTGTGTGTGTGAGCTACAAGTCTGTTCCTGGGAATGGATCACTTGTTTAAAGCGGAGATGTGCCTGAAAGGCCGAGGCTGCTCTGGGGAGCATCCATGCGAGGAGTGGAAAGGGCGTGGAATGGGAGCCGAGCCCCCACACTCTTGCTCTTAATACGGAGAGTTGGGAGCAGCCAGTTGCACCTCTACAATCCACTGCTTGGGGGGGGGGAGTGCAGACGGGGAGGTGGAAGTGTTCGGTGATGTGGGCGCCTCTGTGAGTTAATCATCCGTCCTCCCCTTGAGGAGGTTCAGCTCTTCGCATTAAACTGGGGGAGATAAACAGAGGTGCCTTTAGGGGAACGAGGTGGCCATGTCAATCAGGCGTTTGTATTTATTAACTGGCCCGATGGACCGCAGGTCTCGCTGTGATAAGATAGAAAATATTAAAAAGCCTACACCTCGCACAAGGCGGGCAAAGCCTCTAATAAGCCATTCTAGTCAGGGACGAAGAGCAACCAAGTGCAGAAAGAAATAAATATGTCTTCCATTGTGCCCGGGAGGGTCCTTGGCACGTGTTCTGGCAAACTTGCTGGGGGGGGGAGGGGCCGCGCTTTGGAAAAAACCGCCTCGGAGAGCACATTTCCTCTTACAAAAAGCAAAAGAGCCTCCTGGTTCCAGCGAGCTCAAGTTATGAGGTTTCTAAGGGCTGCCTCACACATTCTCTCGTGAGAGCCAGTTTGGTGTCATGGTTAAGAGCCTGGATTCTAATCTGGGAGGACCGGGTTTGATTCCCCACTCCTCCACATGCAGCTGCTGGTGTGACCTGGGGTCACTCACCAGTTCTCTCAGAGAGAGAACTCTCTCAAGGGCAGTGCTCAAAAGAGCTCTCTCAGCCCCACCTACCTCACAGGGTGTCTGTTGTGGGGAGGGGAAGGGAAGGGAAAAGAGACTGAGCCACTCTGAGGCTCGGCGTGAAGGGCGGGAAATAAATCCAGTCCTCCTCCTCCTCCTCCTCCTCCTCCAAGCGTGCATCCACCTATAAATACAAACTCTGAGTGCAGCATAGAGATCCTGGCGAGCACAAGGGAGTGGGGACAGCTGTGGTTTCCTGCAAAGCCTCCTCTGTGGCAATGGGGTGTGTGTGTGTGTGCGTGCCGCTGTGCAGGGTGGGCGTGAAGCTGCCCTTCAGCCACAGTCCTACCCAGCAGACCAGCTCCTGCCAGTGGGCCAGGATCGTGCCCAAAATGCCGGCTCGGATTCTGCAGCCCCAGAACATGCCGAACCAGAAGGCACCAGAGTACTAAAGACGTGAGGTGAATCTGAGAGTGGATGGGATGAGAAGGGGGCACAGGGTCAGCAGCAGCCCAGCAGGGACCAAACGGCAGATACTCTGCGCCTCGCAGGCCAGCCAGTTGTTTGCAGAAGCAGAGCCAAGGGAGCAGCAAAAAAGGACACAGTGACCAGAGATAAAAGAACATGAACAGCAGCAGCAGCAGCGTGGTGCAGTGGTTAGAGTGTTGGGCTAGGATCTGGGAGATCCAGGTTCGAATCCCCACTCTGCTTTGGAGGCTCGCTGGGTGACCTTGGGCCAGTCACGCGCTCTCAGCCTAACCTACTTCACAGGGTTGTTGTGAGGACAAAACAGAGGAGAGGAGAACCTGTTTTGGGTCCCCACTGGGGAGAAAGGTAGGATATACATGACGTGAATAAGTAAATTAAAAAGCCTGCTGTTTCAGACCAGTCATCCACGTAGCCCGGCATCCTGTCTCACGTAGTGGCCCAGCTCAAAACGATGGTCACAGTTACTAAACAATCCAGAAAAAAATCCACAAAAAATGGAGAACTGTATAGTGATTGCGCTTAAGAAGATTTTAAACAGCAATTATACAATCATAATATGAAAAGTGAATACAAAATAGAGTAAACAATGTAACAAGGTGATAGAGATGTTAACGATGATCTCCGGAATATTCTACCGTTTCGACAAGTTCCTTCTTCCGAACAAAGATGAAGATAGATGAAGAGCATGCAGCGTCTCTGGTCAGTTTTTCAACTGGTAAAAAGGTAAAGGTTCCCTTGCTCGAAAGCCAGTCGAGTCCAACTCTAGGGTTGTGGTGCTCATCTCCGTTTCCAAGCCGAAGAGCCAGCGCTGTCCGAAGACGTTTCCGTGGTCATGTGGCCGGCATGACTAAACACCAAGGCGCCACGGTACGCTGTTACCTTCCCACCGAAGTGGTACCTATTTATCTACTTGCAGTGTCTTGCTTTCGAACTGCTAGGTTGGCAGGAGCTGGAACTAGAGATGGGAGCTCACTCCTTGTCATGTGCCTCTGGTAAATCAACTGGTAAATACCATTAATTTTCACTGATGTGTCATGACATTATCGGAACAAGAGTTTACAATAGTTCTCAATGGGCAAAATGCTGTGGAAGATCATCGTTAACATCTCTATCACATTGTTACATTGTTTACTCTGTTTTGTATTCGCTTTTCGTATTATGATTCTACAATTGCTGTTTAAAAACTTCTTAAGCGCAATCACTATACAGTTCTCCATTTTTTGTGGATTTTTTCTGGATCACGTAGTGGCCCACCAGGAGGGCCAATAATGGGGCATGGAGGTCAAGGCCTTCCCCTGATGTTGCCTGTGGCCACTGGGGTTAGAGATTCTCTTTAGCCACCATCGCTAGTCAGCGCTGATGGACCTCTCCTCCATGTCAGGAGGAGGCAGGAGAAGAGGGAGGGTAAGTTGCTTCCTCCCTGCCTCTCCCCACCCCTGCCTGCCTGGGGCCAGGGAGGGCCTTCGCGGGGCTTCCTTGCACTCCCACTGGCCTTGCAGGTCCACCACCGGGCCCCTCATGGGGCTCGGCAGTGGAGCTGCAAGGCTGGCGGTGGCAGCCGGGACCGTTGGGGGCGGGGTGTGTGGCCTTATGACACGTTTCCGGTGATGTCAGGGTGTGT